AAATCTATAACAGGTACTGGTCCAGGTTATTTCTAGATTTTACTATACAATTTTGTAGGGTGTCACAGAGTGCCTTTTACTAACTTCTGGTGATTATATCAAAACGGCAAGACTGGAACCCATCATATCAAGGTTAGGTTTAATTCTTTCGAAGTTGAGCATCTATTCTTGTGTAAATGAATCATGTGATTTTGTTCTTTTTGTTATTATGTTTGGGTCTAATAACGTGGTAAAATAAAATAGCTGTATTGATTACAAGAAGTATGAATTTCATAATTGTTCCTTATCGATCATCTACCTCGTTTCATTTAAACCCAAAATTCTATTGCTTGCCTCATCTGGGACAGCTTTGTTATTCCATTGCAACTTGTAAAGAGAAAAGATATGTAATAGCTAGTCTTGGTGGCTGCTGATTTCTTGCTAAAGGATTCTATTGCTCTCGTTCCTTTGAAAAGTTCTCATCTTTTATACTTAGTCCATAATACAGGTATGCTTTTCCATGTTGCACTGCCTTAACAACTGCCAGCATGGACGTTGATGGCCGTAAGAAGATGCCAGTTATTGTTATTTTCCATTGTCTTTTGGATGGGTAGCGGTAATTCCTTCTTTTAGTCTTTTCAATATAGGCATGATTAAATGTACCGTAAAAATCAATTTTTTCCTTTCTCTTGCCTATGTATCTACTGGAGCTACCCTCTTGGATCAATTAGCCAGCAGTGATATAAACATGAGAATTAAATGACCTTCCTGTGTATTTTGTTGTATAATTTGTCTCTCTTGTGCTTGGTTTGTAATATTCACTTGGGGATACTTCTTAGCTATGAAAATTCTTGTTCATAAGTAAAATGTTGGAGAGGTTATTTATGTTATTTGTTGTTCGTACTTGATTGCGGTGCACAATATCGTTAACAAGTAATAAAGTGTGCGAGTCCGAGCTTTTTTACTTATGTTCTTCTCCTACTCTAGATTATGGTTATATTAGGACATGTCTTTAAAATCTAAGCGTCATTGGTGCAAGATTTCGTGTTCTACACCTTGTATCATTTTACTTTTTTATAATTCATTTCTGGATCTTCGACTTTAGAAAGTTGTAAGTCTTTACCAAGCAATTAATTGAATTTTCCATGTTTTTGTCACCGACACCGTCAGTTTGAACATTGGAATGACACGCGACATCAAAGCATCTGGCCATGTCAGCAAGACTTTCCACAAATAGATTGATTAAGATGACAGCAATTTCCCATTACTCTGGCCATGTCAGCTTAAATAGAAATAATTTGACTGGTTTGTTAACTTAAAAAAAAAAAAAGAGTATACCAATGTTTAAAGTTGTTCGAGTTAAAATTCACAAGCGAGTCAACATTTTTGGAAGTCATAGATCGTAAACGAACCTTGATCATATGTTTAGCAGGTTAATTTTACTGACGTGGTAAAAAATATACTATTTTTAGCTTAATTAGTTTTAAGATTAAATTTTCATTAGCATGCAAACGGTAAAAAATCGCTCAAACGGTCACTAAATTTCCTCTATGCATCCGCATGGTAGAAATCTATGCGGTTGCATGGAGAAACTTCATGCAAGCCACTAATTTTTGGTAAG